GATGAGTTGTGAATTAACTAACTAAAAATGCACGAATAAAGCAATAAAAAATGCTTTGTTTTTTCACAAATATAATAAAAAGGTGTTGGGATTCTGACTTCACTTAATATTTTTATTATATAGTAGATACATTTATCCTTCAACTTCTATTTCTCAGAAATGTATAAATGTCTCTCACGATTACATTTATATATTATTACTATAGTTGAACAATTAAATGCACTCCTCTCGGTTATACAAATTAATCGTTAAAATGGTAATATTAAAGAACCAGAAATATATACTTGAACTAAAACATGCTCTTTTTAGTAAGTCCCTTTCGGTTACCCTACTTGTTATAACTGATTACTACAATATTCGCCTCTTTCGATTACAAATAAGTGTAGAATTAATTTTAACATATAAGAGCTAGATGTCACTAAATACAAGTTAACATCTATCAATACCAGAATTAACTATTACTTCTTCTGCCTCTTTCGATTACAGAATTAGTGAGAAGTTAATATGTAGTACGAAATAGATAGATGTTAACAAAATTAAATACCACCCAACTATAAAACAGATAAAATTTAAATAAAAAGCTTCAGCTCAAGCATGTGAAATTGAGGAATGATATCTACTATTATATAAAAATATTAAGATCCGTCATTTTTCCAACACAAGAAAAGTTACTCCATATTAGATCCAATACCGACAACGAAAATAATCGTGCCCATTAAATAAGAAAATGGAAACAAATATTCAAGAGAATAATTCCCCCTATTTAATTAAAAACAGGAACTAGAGTAATTTCCAATACTACAATTTATTCGGAACTAGAAATGAAACCACTGTAATGGCTAAAAGAAGAAACAGAAGCAAAACTAAAGAACAAAGAGAAAGAAAAACTTTCTGCTCAATATTACCCTCCCCGTTTTCCTTCACGAACGATGCCTTTTTATAGGCAAGCCATGACAAGGTTTTCAATTATCTTCTAGATATGAACTTGTCATGGCTGGTTGTGGCCTTGTTATGCTTGGTTATGAGCTTCTTTGGTTATGGATCGGTTATAGTTTGTTGTAACCGGTTGTGAGTCGGTTGTTCTTTGTCATGGCAGATCACGTATTCTTTAGCACCATATTTTATTCTGCCTTAGCTTGTACGTTTTTCTATTTTTTTTCCTCTTTAATCTTCTCGTTCCCAGACCAATCCTTCTTTAACTTTTCCTGCATAATTTAGACAAAAGTATGGAAGAAATATGATAATTTTTGTGTTTTTACAAAGAAATTATATGTTTAAAAATAAAATAAAATGCACTTATCA